TCACATTCATCCATTTCAAACAATGCTTTTAAAATTAATGGTCCGGATTTTGATAAAATTAATGTTGTCATCCATCATTGTGAGGAACAATTGTACAAGTAGGTTAATTCTTATACAGATAATGTCATTAAAAGCTATCATACTGTTACTATTATACTATTTGTACAATCATATGTTGGTGATGTCAAAATGCGAGTTATTGATTTAAAAATTAGTTTTTGAAATGAATGAATATAATTTTGACAAATGTGTGTTGTCAACCAATATTATCAAACTAGGTTATACGTTTAGCATGATCCATATGGTAAAGTTCCTTATTTCAGCGGCCAAGATTACTTCCCTAATGATGGTTCTATTTGATTCTAGTACCTACCACGGAAGGTAGGGCTAAGTCTCTCGTTCTTCCTTCAGTGTGAGAATTAGTAGATTGACTTTGAGCAAAAATCATTCTAAAGAATAATCTCCACAAGGAACAAATAAAGTCATTATAATTCACCTCGATTGATGTGAGGTCTTTACGTAAACATCTTAGCAAAAGATCCATGAAGTTTGGAGGGAAAAGTCATAGAAGAACCATGCTATTTGTATAGAAAATGGTTGACATACAGGTTGATCAAGCATTGTGCCCGCATTTTTTTGGAATTTTTTAATCACGTGTGACCCGCACGCACGTGAGAGATTGTCATACTCCTTGTTATCCATTTCCTGTACAAATGGAAAAACCCGTCATATAATCTTTGACTAATATTAGAGGATACATGGCATAACAAGGTGTGAGATATGTTTTGATTTTTGAGAGAGGGGACCCCATGGTCAGGCTTGACCATGCCCACCTCCACGATTGCTCCCCGTGTTGGGGTGCGGTTGGGTTCCTTGCAAATTGACTAGAATAATTTTATGTGTACATCAACCATGAAAATTGGTTGACATTTCTCCTATGTGAAGAAAATCTATACAGTGATGTGATGGATGAGTTCAAAATCAAGGGTATAAAGGATAATGTAAATATAGCATGGTTGAATTGACCACGAATGATCAAGTATCGTGGCTTGACAAGCTTAACCAGCCTGTTAGCTATGACAGGCAGAAAGAGAGAGATGACAACATTGCTAAAATTGCTTCTATCCATCAAACCAATAACATGTATACTAGTTCTAAACTGGTCATTTGGTATCAACCCGATTTCTGGTTGAACTCTAGAATTTGAAGCTGCGAAGACTATACAAGATACAAAATCTTAATGGCATTGGACAAAAATGACCAACACACAAACGACAACGGAAAATTGTGCACAACGTTCATGTGGCAAGCCATTTACAGATCGTCTTTATACGAAGTCCTGGCTTTGTCTCTTCCCGAGAAGTTAGGTCTAGTGCTAAGTGATAACTTAGAGTTAAATCCTTCCAATGCCTCGTTTAACATTGGACCGCTATGTCGTTCGTTTTGCAGCTGGTAATCTGACCAGATCCTGCCACTGCGACTCCCCAAGTCATACCCAGGTGCGGACCTTCGACTTGAATCCATAATAAAATCACCCTCAAGTATCCGAAGCACCTAGAGTGAAAACGAGAACAATATTTTATTTTCAGAATATAGAATCGAACACAGTGCAACCTGAGTACCAATTTTCACTTTTTCCAGACATGCATTCCTCCCGGGATCAGGACTCGTTCTCATTATTTCAGAAATATAATAAGAATGACTATCCTGATTACTTTTAATTTTACAGCATTTGACATTATGTTAATTGATTTTTCTCAATCTTGATGATTTTCAGTGCACGAATGAACTAGATTTTTCTTACCCGAGACATGCGAGGCCTTGTCTGTGGATCCCGGCGTATACACCAAGATGCAGCATGTAACATGCAGCAAACCTCATGTTCTGAATAATTGTTCCCGAGCTGTGGATCAACTAGTTCATGGATGGCATATGCATCCACTAAAGGGCGTGCCTGTAACAGATCAAAAAACCAATAAATCAGAGAGATTAAGCCCCTAGGGCAGACCAATTGTTAACCTTCCTCTGGAAAGAATATCAAGTTAGCTTGAGAATATTATGGCACTCGGTGGATAGAGCTATACCCACTCAGTGAGACACTGCTGGCCCTTAGGTCTGTTAAGATCCACTGCTTTACGTCCAGTAACAAGTTCGACCAGCACCACACCAAAGGAGTAAACGTCTGCTTTTTCTGTGATCTGTCCGCTTTGAGCATATTCAGGAGCCAAGTACCTAAATGAAGCGTAATAGTTTAATGGAACTTGACAATTTTTTGTAGAGATCATAGTCTAGAATTGAGAAAACCAAGTAATAGAATAATTACCCAAATGTTCCAATTACTCTTGTTTCAACTCCTGTCTCTCCATCAGGTTGCCATCTTGCCAAACCAAAGTCTCCCACCTTACGGAAAAAGAATCGATTAAAATCATAAAAGTTAAGTACAATATGAAAAGTACGTGAAAACATGAACAGAGACAATTTTTATTTGGGTATGAAAGAAAGTAAATAAAGCTTTATATTATCTTTCTATCAAGTGGAGAAGCTTTATAGCAGGAAGACCTGTTGAGAATGGTGATCAAACCAATGTTGAGAAAGTAAGAGAATTTAATTCACAGTATCAAACTATTGGGCTATGTCAAGTAGATACACACGTGCGAACAAGATATAACTGTATAAACCCTTTGATTGCAAGACAAAATAACCACTTCTTCACAACTAATAATTATCACAAAATAAACCGTTATTGTTTTGCCTACATCTACCAACTACAGAGAAGCATAGATAAAACATAAACACATATAACATATCATATGATCACGTGTGCACATTTATATGCACAGGCAGATGCATATGAACAAACAGAGAAAGCAGTAATTGAAGTAGATCAGAAAGTGTCTAAATACGGCATATTTTCTACTTCAACACTTCGACTATTTCCAGATAACAAACTTTTGGAAGATCAAATGAGAAACCAAGAAAGCCCACACGTGCAGATACCTGAAAACATTACGCTACATTCACTGCATACTTAATAATATTTTTCAACTGGAATAGAAAGTTAAGAGATTTGCTGTACCATGGGTTCGAAGTCATGGGTAATGAGGATGTTATTCGGCCTCATGTCTCGATGAACAATGCAACCTACTCTGCATTCCTCGTGAAGATATCGTAGACCTCGTGCAGCTCCCAGTGCAATTTTTTGACGTGCAGACCACGCTAATGGATCTCGATGACGTCCTGGAAATACCAGAAACATCAGTAAATAATGAAAACTATTCTTATACCAGGATGAATGAAACCAATCGAGCTCTAATGGCAAGAGATCTCAACACATATAAAGTAATAGATATATTCATGATATGCTCTTCCTAATAGGTTTAGGTTTCAAGAGTGTTTATGAAGTGAAAAGAACATACCATAAAGATGAGAATCCAGAGATCCATTGCAAATGTATTCATAAACTAGTAATCTTCTTCCATCTTCAATGCAGAAACCAATCAACATAACCACATTTCGGTGCTGAGCACAGCTGAGAACTTCAACCTCCGAGCAAAATTCTTGATCTCCTTGAGAACTGGCCAATTTGTGTTGCTTGACAGCAACGGCCTGACCATCTGGAAGGACTCCTCTATGGACAGATCCAAACCCACCTTCAGCTAAAAAGTTAGCTTGTGAAAACCCTCCCGTGGCAAGCTCCAGCTCGGCATAAGTGAACCACCTTGGAGGCTTTCCAAATACCGGAGCCTTATGTTGACAAAGCGAACACAAGGGAGGTGGTCCAGGTGGTGCATTTCTAGAGAGCAAAATTGCTTCTCTCAAATTGCCACTGAAATCCATATTAGATCTATAGCTTGGGGATGCAAACCCAGTTTCATCGTCAAGTTTAGAAAGCTTTTCTAGCAAGGCCTTTGTTACAAAACTTTGAGTTCGATTATTGCATCGTTCAGAGCTTTCTCCTAGCAAGGATTGAGCGTGTGAACTGGTAAATTCTGCTACCCATGGTTGAAACCTTAAACTTGAAGTGGAGGATAAGTTTTCACTCTCAGTGTCTGAACTGGACTCGTCAAGTTCTTGCTCTTGTTTCGAAGCTGATAATTCCTCTTTCTTTAGACCATCCTTCATTTCAGAAATGAAGAATGGTGATGTTCCAGGATCAGAGCTTGAAACTGATGAAATTCCGCCTTCAGTCGCGGTGAATGTCTCGGGACTACTTGATGGAGTAACTAGTGGACCTCGATTGGAATTCAAAGAATCATTGTTATCTTGAATTTTGGACGAGTGATCTTTACCAGAGTCCATCACTTCCTTTCCCTTTCTAGGTGATCCAACTAAATTCAGACGAAGAACCTTGGGTTGGGAATGCTTCATGACAACAATGTTGCATTGAAGTTCTTCCATGCAACGCTTTTCCTCATGCTTGAGTTGTCTGCAAAATTTGAGGCAAAACGCTGCATAAATACAAAGAAATATTGAATAGATTCCATTATTACTTTAAAATGGCCTCAACAGGAACTGTAGATATTACTTGTCCAGAACAACCCAATTGGCTTGAGTTCTCGTTGCCTCTGCAGCCACTGCTCCACATGGGGACCCCGAAACAATTTTTATCTTCACATTGATCTGAAATTTGTATAAACACAGATCAGCAGTATGGAGCCATGCACAACCCTATACAACAGATACAAAACTGCTGATAAGATATAATGATATTTACTTTATTAGGATCATAAACATCGTGGAGTTGAAGGATCATCTGGGAGCAAGTATCTGTTATATCATATTTCTGCTCTGCGTTTGTCCCAGTTTGTGACTTTTTGTTGCCACTAGCACAGTCTCCAGCAAATCTTGGAAAGCCCCATAACTTTCTACCTGATTTAAGCAGGCTAACTGTTAGTATATCTATTAGTAAGTTGCATTGATGCTAAATTCAAACTAAAAAAAAAATGGCAAAGAAATTAAAACAACACAAAAATAAAAAAGTTTCATCTAAACGGCTCATACAATAAGCACTTTTTGCATGTAGAAATGCCATAATTCCGACACATGATTACGACTAAAATGGGATAGATGATAGTAGGTTAGAGGAAATCAAATTTTCAATTCAGTTCAGCAGCAATAACTAAATTTTAATTAAGGGGCTGCAGGATGTACTTGCTAGAACCTTCTAGTTGTACAATCAACTGAGATAAGAGGTAATTCACAGTACCTGATTAGTAAAATTTTGCGGAAAGGAAAAGGCCAAAATGTGTGGGCTAAGGACAAAGGATCGAACTACAACCTTGAGGTTTGCTATCAAATGATCTGTCCTGGGATACAAGCTTATTATTTCTCAACTAAGTAAATATATTAATTAAGTATTGAGAGGTCATCATTGTTAACCTAGTTATGGATAGAATATGCAGCTACCACAATGTGGATTCCCATGGAAATCCCCGAAAATCTCAAATAATAATTATTCACAATCCAAGGTAATAGAACACTATAATGACTCAAGATTTTCATCCCTCTTCAGAAAAGAGGAAAAAGACTACTTCTGTGATTATTATCCCCAAAAAAGTTAAATAACCCAAGGTTTCCAATAGACCACGAAAGTTCCAAATTATAGGACTATTGTTAAGTGATGATGACTATAGAAGCCCTGCCCCCATTTTGCTGGCACTCTCTCGGAATCAAAACATCCACCATCGCCATAATCCAGTTCTTGTTCTCGTTTCATTGTTACACAGCTTGACAAAAAAATTCAACAAAATAAGAGGGGAATTTAAGGACATGAATGGGAAAGGGAAAAGCCCATGTCAGAATTCATTGCTTAAACACATGAAATTGATCGGAGTATCTAAAAGATTACCAGAACTGTGTGAAGAAACAACCACAAGAAGAGTAATGCAGTCCCCTGGCTGAACAACATGAGTCAAAGCCCAAACAAGAGCAGTCTTTGGAATCTCCCTTGATTCCTTAACAGCCACCACAACTTTCTCAGCCACATCAGAACCCTTCTCCTTCTTTTCCTCTTTCTTCAAATCTCTGCTCATTATAGCAAAAGCAAAATTTTCCCCTTTCGAAATCTTCAAAAGAAAAACTTTATTTCTTTAAAAAACACCCCGACTCAGATACAAATAGAGTGCAGATGATTGACTACATGAACGAACAGCAAGAAAACATTAAATGATCATTGTGCCATCTCTATCGCATCCACATGACTTGTATTGTTCAAATACAGCCGGCATGCTCACTGTTCAACCATGACAAGACCCTTTTAACCGAGAATCAATTTTTCCAAGAGACCAAGATTTTTGTTTCTCTAGTCCAAGTCAAAATGCTGAAATCAACAAAAACTGGGATTTAAACAGAGATAGCTATGCATGCAGATAGCAGAAATGGACCACAATGAAGCCTTAAAATGGATCTACAGAGAGACTTCTTTTCACTCATGATGATGCACTGTTGGGCATATGATCTCTGTACAACACAAACGTCAGAAATTTTTCTTCCCTTTAATGGATCTGCTTTAACAAATGGGTGATTTTTTATTAAAATGCCTCAAGTGAAAGAAAGCTGTTCTTCAGATCCAAACTTGAACCCACTTTTTCCCTCTTTTCTCGAACATCTAAAAATTGTTTGGTAGGAAATTAAAATACTCTGAAATAAAATACTAGTACTTTTGCTTTCGGCTTGTCCCAACCCACAGAACAAATCCCATTAAAATGATTGAAATGACGCAAGAGTTGATTTTCTGTGCTTTCAGATATGACTTTTATCAGCAACCACAGATTATCCCTGCAAAACCCACAAACCCAATCAACATTCAAGAGAGTAGAGTAACCCGTCGTCCATTATTATGCACCCTCACAGTGTGTGTGAAAAGAAATATTGCATCTTTGTCATTTTATCTTTTTCATTGATCCTTTCACATCACAACAGCTAAACAACAAAAACCCACCCCAGAAACAAGAAAATGATAACACTACAGAAGAGTCGATATGGGTTTCATCAGTGTGTGAAAATGCGTGAGAGAGAAATACAATGAGCTTTCAAGTTGAACAACCCCAACAACTCAATCCAAATTCCAAACTGATGTAATTCAATTATTATAGTTACAATACATCAGACAAGATCAATATCAAATTACTGTGTGTGATCGTGTGTAATGACACTTACATTTGTAACAGCGACATGTAATTTGTATACAATTAAAAATTTCAGTCACAAATCTCTGCAGCCGTAATGCCTCTGAATTAAATTTACAGTCTTCAGACAATTCAGGAGGTCGCGGTCGAGCTTCTTTTCCTTCTCGTTAATGCCCTTGCTTCTGAATATAACTACAGTTCTACCCTTGCGTAATTATCTTATTATTACTAGCAATATCTTTTTAAATCAAGAGATAATTATGTGTATG